CCATGCCAACAGACCCTGAAGGTGTAAAATTGATTTATCATGTGTCTTGAGTCTTCTGTTATTTTTCAAAGGGTCTCCACCAACGAACTAATTCTTATAAAGAGAAAAGCTTTTGTGATGCCTACAAAAAGTTCTCTATCAGTTGCAAGTCCTTCAAGTGTGAAGCACCAAGAAGCTGAAAGGAAGCCAAGCCAGTTGAAATTGAGCAGTGTCGAGGGGGACGACTCAATAGAAAAACTGAAAGTGGGATCAGCTACACCTCAGTCCGCCGCTTCGACATTTATTAAACTATTAGCAAGGGGTGGGGTCAGTCACCCTTCTTCCATTTCCTTGAGTAAGCCCAAATCGAAGCCTGAGCCAACCAACGAGAAATAGGAGGTATGTCACTATAAGGGGAAAGCTCCAGCAATTGACCCAACTGTCTTGTATCCTCCCTCTCCCTAAAAGAAGCAAAAGGGCCCCCCACTTGCATGGGTTCCAATGCTGGACAAGGGGGTGAATGTGAGCACTAGCTCTGATGATTAATTCGCTTTAATCGATTTGAGGAGGGATTAGTACTTGGATGCCCCTTCGACAGCTCTATACCCCTCGACTATTGCCGAAGTGATTTAATCTTGAGCTTTCGAGAAGATCCTTCACAAGCAAAGTCTCTCATGTCTAGGCCAAATGACCAACTTATATCAATTAATGGACTGGGAGGCTTCACACTTTAAATCAAAGGTCCTGAAATAAGCCAAAGAGAAATTGTCCAAGGATAACAATAGGGTGAAGGCGGTGGAAAATCGAGGGAAGGTCACTGAAGCTGAGCTGCTCAGATTATCAGAGTTATTGTCGGCTGCTTAGAGAGAGAACCAAGCCATGAGGGAGAAGATGACAACAATGATGACATATGATGATTTCTTCATCGTCAGGTGGAACTGCTCACTGCACGACTCGAGATAGAAGTATCCTAGAGGTTGCTTGGGATCATTTTTTGTTCTTGAAATAAAAAAATAGGAAACAAAAAAATGTTTGTTTATCTGTTTTTTGTTTTATTTTCAATTTTTTTTATTCTTGGAGGAACACTACTGTTTTAAAAAAAACTCAAACAGAAAAACATCTTTTTGGCTATTTTTAAAACATCGAAAACAATGAGTCTTGTCGCTTTCCCTCCCCGCCTCCACAGCCCGCCGCCCGCCACCCCCCCCCCCCCCCCGCCCCCCACTGGCAGCCGACCCCTGCCGGTCGTTGCCTATCGGTTGTCGCTGCCTCCCAGCACCTGTCGCCTCCTCTGGGCGCTCGCCCCAGCTGCCTCCTGGCGACCTCCACAGCCATTTCCAGCCCTCGTCAGCTGCAGCCGACCGCCCGCCCATAGGTAATGTTTCATGCTTGTTGGAGCAAGGAAGACGTCGTATACACTATCTACGACAGAGCTTTGGAACACAAATGAACTCAACCGTTTTATAAAAAGTATCGTTTTTCTTTAAGAAAATAAAAAATATCCAACCAAATATGTTTTATATTCTTTCTTTTTAAAAATATATAAATCATAACAACACTAAATGCATTTTCTAAAAATAGAAAACAGGAAACAAAACAAAAAAACCAAACAGACTAAAAACAAAAACGAAAATAGAAAACATGTGATCCCAAAGAGGCCCTTAGCTGTCGGTCAGATGATAAAGGCAAAGCTTATCTCCTCCAAGTAGACTGATCTGGATAAATTTGCTACATTACTTTTGTACTCGAAGGAGGGCGAAGAAGAGGAGGATAGCGATAAAGACGATGGATGTTCTTCAAATTTTTTTACTCGTCTTCGACTTCGCCTGTAGCTTAGAAAAAAATTCTTTTTATTTTTGGAAACTTATAAATAAATAGAAAGAAAATTCTTTATAAGTTTTCAAGCATAAGATGAATCAAAAGTTTCGATTGATTTTAACCTTTATTTTTTTATTACTTTACCGTATATTTTGTTTTCATTGTGATAAATACTTGTGATAATTGATTGATCAACTTTTTTAAGAATGTCTTCGGTTGATTTTGTTGAGTTATTGTCAGACTCAAATCTTATATTTCTCATGTCTCGGTCGCTTAGTTAGATCATCGCTTAGGATTGGGCACGCCTTACACCAGGTGTATTAAACGGAACTTATCACCACCTTCATAGGGGTGGCTGTCGAGACTTCTTGTTGTGGTGATTCAAACATTATACATCTTGTTGCTAATGGGTAGGGAATCATCAGAGCTTGACCTGCTTCGAGCTAAAAAACATAAGTTTTAAGTGCATGAGTGTTATGGATCTATTCTTGTACATTTTGTCGATCTGACATTAATTGTCACTATCAATCAAATTTAAATGATTTTTTATCGATAAGATGTTTATTCATCATTGTCAATTTTGAAAAATCATGACTGATCAGACATCTTGTGTTGTCTGTTTTGAAAAATCTTTATCGATCAAAAGACTTGCATAACTATCGATTTTGCCGTTCAAGTAAAACTATTGTTGGAGGATCAGTTCGAATTCCCCGAGTGTCTGTCAGACTTTGAGGATTCCTTGTGTGAACTTCCTAAGTTTCACAAGTGTCGGTTGTACCTGGGTTTGTGTGCATAATTAGAAAATTTATACTTAACCATTTTTATGAATTTGACAATAAATTACAAGAGTTGGAATGATAATGCATTCTCATTGTCGAGTCGGGCGCCGGTCAGGATATCAAGCATGCCTCCCATGGTGGTATGTTACATTTATCGCTCTGTAATTTTAGTGCCTTTGTGAGCCTTTAAGAAGAGTTCGACCCGAGCAATGAGTATTATGTCTCGACATCTGGCTTTCTTCATGGTCAGTTCTATTTGGTGGATGGTGGTTGATTTACTCGATTTTGAATGATGTGAGAGAGGAGTGTACTCCTCGACCGATATGTAGTTAGTCATCTCCAACAACTTGGCCAATGTCTTTTATCGCTACTAACCCAAAGCGTACCGAAAAGGTCTTTCTTTCAACCCTTGAGTTAGAGCGACATGAGTTACTGCGAACTCTAGATTCCACACTTCCAACATCTTCTAGAAGAGGGTGACGAACGAGTAAAGGCGTCGGATCTGAAGGAGGGACAGTGAATTCTTCTAGAGTTTTTGGGCGCTAGCAAGTTACACCACAAACATTTACTTAAAGTAAACGAATGACGTGATCACTCCTGATGCAATACATTAAATCATCTAAGAGCTGACTTCCTCAGCGTGGTAAAGAAGAGAAGACATTTAAGTGTGTCAGTGATCGTCATCAAACACACAGTGACTCAAATGAGACTATGTGGTAAGTTGGATTTGTCCTGCCCTTAGAGGACTCCAATGTCTAGATTTTGAACCTCTATGGGGGCTTCGCATCAGATATTTACCGAGAGAACACTTTCTCTTGTTGTTGGGCCACCTAAGTATGCCCAAATCGATGTTAGTCAACTAGGGTCGACCCAGCATTATCAAAGTACTGAGAGACTCCTTTTTCCAATTTTAGGGTGCTCTTCGGCCATTAGGTGCCATTCCTTCCTCTCGACGATGTTGATCTCTTCCTCAAGTTAATGCCTTTTAGATGGCAGCCATCATTTGATCCTTCAGCTTCTGGATTTGTTGATTCATAAACTCTCTTATGCACTCCATATTATTGGTGTCTTTGTTGTAAGTTTTTTCTCTGTGGGATGCTTCTCTTCTTGGCTGTGGTATGATCCACGCTTATCATACATTTTAGAATGTTAAATCCTGATTTGTCCATGAATCACACCTCAAGGAATAGAGCATCAGTCTAGAGAAAGAAAGGGGAGAGTAAAAAGTAATGAACAATAATGTGTCGTGTCTATCGTGCCCATTCTCATAAAACGGTGATGTTACCTTTTTGCTCTTGTTTTTTGTCGCGCATGATATCTATGTATTTTACATATATGAGTCTATCGCTTGGCTGCTCTCAGGTCTGGTCGATTGAGCTAGTATTAATTTGACTCGATATGGCGTGTTCAATCGGGTGGGCATAGTTGGCATTGTCGGTTGACTTAACTCAATTGGGTTTTGGTCGGAATAATTGGTTCTAAATTGCCGATCAGTTGATCTTGTCTAGTTGTCGACCCTAGATCCCTAGCGAGGAACTCCAGTCAGCAGAGCGACGCTGGACTATCAAGGAGATAGTAAATCACCATAACCAAATAAATAGCTAGCTCTTCAACTAGGAGATTATATGGAATAACTATAAAACTCTTTGTTATATTGTTAATTCTTGACCACTTATAGAGAGCCTCAGGGGCATCTTTGGGATCGTTTGTGGTATTGTGGGATTGCATATTTCTTCGGATCTATCAAAAGGTAGGTTGTTGCATTAAGTCGGCTTTCTTACAGTGGTTAGCTTGAATATCTCTTTATCTCGTTCCTTACCAAAAGGCCGGGATTCGGTCGCCTTTGTGACTCGGTCGGTTTTGACCTTATTTGATCTGGCTCGAACGGATGCATCCGATTGGATAAATGTTCCTCGTGGTCTTCTTTCGGCAGGCCCTTCTTTGTCATACTCTATTCCTTCTATACATTTAAATCTCCTTAAGATCAGCACATTTTCGATGTACAGTTTTAAATTAGTAATACTTAGGTTTGTGTACTGAGAGTTGAACCAAAAGCAGAACCATAAAACTAAATTATGAAAAAATTCGATTCCGCCATATATACTAAGAAAAACTATTAGCTGCACGTAAAGTCCCAAAAAATTAAATATTTGTTTTCAACAATGCATACTAGGATGTGCTTCAATGGATGAAGATTAAGAACTCTATGCAGGATTTTACTAACAATGATAAGAATTATCGAAAATCCTCAAAACAGTCCAGTGTTTATTTTCCCGTTAATCCATAAGAACATGTAAGCAAGCAAATATAGTTATGGTAATCGCCATAGCAGCAAAGTAAGATGAAAAAAAAAAAAAAGAAAACACTGCACCTTGCCATAGCAGCAAAGTAAGATGAAAAAAAAAAAAAAAGAAAACACTGCACCTTAGTGAAGAATTTTTGAGCATGGCTCCTGATTTGGATAGCTGTCTTAGTACCAATATGCTCTGCGGTGAATAAATCGTAAACGAAATCAACTTCTCTAAAAAGCTAGGGTTTACGACAACAACTCTCACATCATTGATGCAAAAGATATGGGGAATGATTGAACAATTACCCAATCTCACCTTCTATGCGTTGCCATGCCCTACCATACAGTTTCAAAGCTTCCAGGAACCGGCCGTGCTCTTCCTCAGTCCACCTCTCCCGCTGTTTCGTGATCGTGTAAGGCTTTCTCGCCTAAAATAAAAAAAAAAAACCCAAATCGTCACCTCCTCAAAGATATAAAAAAATTATAAAACAATTGAAATAAAACCCACAAATCAACCAAAACCCAATCTCACCTTCACCACCAGATCTTCTCCGAACGAGTTCATCTCCATCCCCGAAACTGATCAAGTTCTAAAATCAACTAAAAAAACACCAGCACCAAATCACTCCGCCTTTAAATCCTCCACAAGTAAGACTCTCCCCTCCATAGCTCCCACCAGCTGCCGAAGAATATACCTCATGACAGGGCACAATCACTGCCCAAACAGATCCCCCCAAATCATAACATTCCTGAATCAATTCCTGAAAATAGAAATAAAAAACAAAGCTAGCATCGATCCTACTCACATAATCACCTCTCGCCAATCGCCATGCCGATCTTCCATCGAATCAAAGCAACATCGAATCAACAAACGAAGATCGGAAACCAAAACCCTGCTCCTGACCTCAATCCAAACCTTATCAAAAGCCTCGGCTCCCTCATCTCCCCTGTCCAACCTCTCTCTCTTTCTCTAATTTCCCCGGAACAATACCAGCCACTCTATTTTCTTGTGGGCTGGAGCTCATCGACTGAAATTAAATACAGAAAAAATTGAGGGGAAAAGAGGAGGAGAAGCGGGGGGTGTCAATGGGCGCGATAATTCGAGGCTGGAAACGTTCCGGGTGCCCGTAGTCTACAACCACGTGGCATTTTTATAGTGGAGGTTTCTTTCCGGGTGCAGTTTTGACGTGCTCCTCCCACCAGGTGGCGAGCCCTCGGCCACAAGCAGTTCGGGAGTTTGGTCTATACGTGTATTTCGGTTCCCGTCCCGTTGAAAGAAGCGGTACCCTCCACAACTTCAGTGGGTCCCGGCGGATAATGGTTGGGTGTTCTTGGGTGTACTTTCTTTCAAAACTTTGTTTTTCTTTGAGGCTGGGAATTATTTTATTTTATAAATATTAGAAAAAAATATATCAGCTGAAAATTCGCGTGTTAGATCTCAACGGCCAGTTTTATTGTTTTAATGGAAAAAAAAAATTTTTCCTAGCAATATTATAATTAATTTATTTATTTATAAAGTTTGATTTAAAAATAAATTAATTAAATAGATTATTGAATTCTATTTCAAAAACATGCCACGTGATATTAATTTTGTATTTTTTAAAAAATAATATCTTCGTTGTTTTAATATAATTCTTTGGAGGCTTTATTAATTAATTAATTTATTTACAAATAAGTATTGATATTCGATAATGTTTATTAAATTTAATTTTTCCATATTGGGAAACTCTAACGGTGCTGGGGGACGTGGCAAATCGCCGTAGCTATCCATTAGATAACTTTAAGATGCGTGCTCTGGATTGGCTATTCTATAATCTCTAGGATTTCGCAAATGCGAGGCGATCCAACGGTTGTCATCATCTAATCGCTGTTTAAAATACTTGTTTTGCGTCGGACTTTCGCCACTGACCCTGCCCGTGACCGCACGTTGCCAAATTTTTTTTATTGGAATGACGGCCTTCTGACACGTCAGCATAACTTTTTTTTTTGTCCACAGAAAAAAAATAATATTTAAAAATTATTTTTATGTGAATTTTACTTATGATAATCAATTAATTACAAAGAAAAATATTTATTTACATTTTGCATTAAATAAAAAAGAAATTCTTTTCCTTCATTGCACACATTTTTTATGTGTCTACAAGTTTGAATTGCAATATGTATTTAGTATTGTTGGCCCATCAATGTTACAAGAGGCGGCTAATTTGTTTCATGCAAATTTATTTTATATTTTTTAATTACTAAATTTTGGTCAATTTCTCTATGACATTGATAGTATGTTCAACTTATGTTATAGCTAGCCAAAGTGAGCAAGAGCTTAGCAGACAATCAGCGTGATTCTCTTTCGTGTTGCGGCTTCTGTGCAGCAGACGATCAACATGATCCTCTTTTGAAATGATAAATTAGACTTCATTTGAAGTTCATCATAGGCTTCATTTGAATTGCAATATGTATTTAGTATTGTTGGCCCATCAATGTTACAAGAGGCGGCTAATTTGTTTCATGCAAATTTATTTTATATTATTTAATTACTATATTTCGGTCAATTTCTCTTTGGTTTATCTTTGACATTGACAGTTTGTTCAACTTTTATTATAGCTAGCCAAAATGAGCAAGAGCTTAGGAGACAATCAGCATTATTCTCTTTCGTGTTGCGGCTCCTGTGCAGTAGACGATCAACATGATCCTCTTTTGATGTTGCGATGCAGAAGAAAGTCGTCCCCGTTATGGGTATTGGACGACTAATGAGATTTTCTTTCCTGAAAAAGTCGTGGAGGAAAGTAGTCCCTGATCTGCATAGCAAGCGATCAACAGGATCTACATTCGCAATGTTGAGATGAAGAAAGTTATCTCTGTTCCTGCCCAACTGGTGACTCGGGATCTTCTTGCTTATTGTTGCTTCACAATCTAGTGGAGATGAAGAAATGCTTCAGTTTTCCCACATTTGTGATTCTTGGTGGGGGGGGGGGGGGGGGGGATTTTCATGCTTTTATGGTGGCGATATCTGGAGACCCCTTGAAAATCAACATAAATATTGAAATTTTGGGGAGGCGATGGCAACTCCACTCAAAGATGAGTTGATTTGTTATAGCCCTTGTACAGGTAGGTGTTGGTCTTTGTACCATTTCAATTGTCTGATATGACATTTGTAGATGATGATAATATATTTCTTTGTACTTTTGACGTTGCTTCTGAATTTGTTGTGGCTTCTTACTCGTGCCAAACTCGTGCAATTTATAAAAAAAAAAGTCATGCACTTTTTTAGGCTCGTGCCTTCTGAAGTTGTGCCCACTTAGGTCTGTATCTTCTGAGGTTTCTGCTTTTTTAAGCTTATGCCTTTTAGGAGCTTGAAATGTGACGATGCCTTCTGAGATGCGTAGCCTTCTCTTTTGATGCTTGAAGCCTTTTTTAGGCCTTTAATGTACTTGTTTCTCCTGAGGCTTGTAACCTTCAAAGGACTTTGAGTGGAGGCCCTGTCAACCACTACGAATGTTCGAATTTTACCACACACGGCGCCAAACTGATGTGTGGAAGAAGAATTGTGGTGGCAGAGTAATAGATTATCGTCTTAGCCATTGCATGAAAATTCAACACACACTCATATAAAATAAAACAACCAGTAGTGACACCAGAAGTTTTTACGTGAAAAACTCATAAAGGGAAAAGCAACGGAGCCAAACCAAGCTGAATAATTTCATTATAAAATAATGATTATACTTACAACCACTTATCCCACAAACGGGAACGAGTTAAAAGTTCTCCCAAGTTACAATTTCAATGTGTGGATAATCTTGTTGTAATGAACGAGCGGTGGCCGATAGCGATCGGCGGTGGGTGGGGGGGTGG